TTATAATAACAACGTCATATTTATTAGAGATCAGCATCACATGGTTAATTTTTTAATTACTATTACTAATGTTCAGATGAAGAATAGCCAGAATTCCTAGCGTCAACAAATTTTTATACCGTTCGCTTTGATCTAGACAATTGTAAATATGAAATACGTCCAATATACATACAATCGATAAACTTTATTGTTTCCTGATAGAAGCAACTACTCTTGATGAATTAATTGCTTTTCTTTTTTGAAGACAATGTAGTTAATTTTATCTATTGTAAAACAATACTTAAAGACCAGATCCAACAATCAAAATAAACAAAGGTAAAATTGCTTGATGTTGATTTGGGATGAAACAGATCTATCTATTAATATGAATACTTTGGGAAGGAGAAAATACGTGTTAGGGAATATTTCCACGTCACACTTTATTTATATTTTAAACATGAATTTTTTGGTTTATAATAACATTTGGACTCTTTTAAAATACTAATTTTAAAAATGTTAACTGATAAGCTTATTATCTTGACTGAAAATTGGTTAGTTGGACGAGAATAAAATAACGAACAAGGAAATTTGGGGTCAATCAAAACTACAAAACTAGTCCGATAATAGAAAAAAACCGATAAAAAAGTATGCATCGAGTAATTGGGCTCTTTGTGAGAAGAAAATGTTTTTTTTTAGGGTTGTTACAGTCACCGCCTAACTTTTTTGACCGGTTAATCGGATAAGGACCGTAATTAAATGTCATATTAAAATTTAGTTAAAATCAAATTAGATCGTGTCAGTTATCTCTCTATAACCGATCTCGATGACTGACGGATTTCTCTAAACCGAGATTTTTCCTAGTACTATATCAAATGATACGTTAATATACTGGCAAATAAAAAAATATTAATATATGAAACTTCCTCCAAAGATATCATTTCCTAATATGAAAAAGATATTTGAGATTCATCTTTTGATATATATATATATTAATATATAAAATTGGCTGTTGTCCTTGTAGTTTTTAAAAGTTTGTCTATTGACTATTTTTCGCTTTACAAGTCATTGAATTGACCAATAAGGAAGAACATCTAGCTACCAATGACATTGAACACTAAAAAAATTAATGTTAAATAGTATACATGCATCCAATTGAACAATAACAAATGTTACAAAGAAAAAAAATCATAATTTATAATTAATAAACATTATCGGATTGAATTAACACTTTTGAATAACAAATTCCTCTTCCAGCCAAATGACCAAAAGCGGCCAAATGGGCAAAACGGCCAAAATGGCATGACATTATTATTGTAATTCTCATGTGCCTAACCGGTTAAATCAGGACCCGAAAACTATCCACTGCATCCATAATATTCCCCAAATTTGGAATGATTTCGAAAATCAGCCAATCATGATTTTTTATGAATTTTTCGGTTAAACGGCTAAATTGCGACGCGATTTCCCCAAAAAAAAATTTTCAAAGACAAAATGTTTTGAATTTCGAGTAATATATAAACGATCTACACTGTAGCCCTTACATCAATCGTGTATTTTTCGGCCCTTCCCTTTACTATTCTGCTGATATTTTCCAAATTGGCCCAGTGCGCATATCGATTAAAAATTTCGAAAAGAAGCAGAATCTATTGATACTAAACGGGTTTTTTTATTAATTGGTTTGGGTGATTTAAATTTCAATAAATAAATATTTAGTATTGTGTTACCCATTACGCGTTTTTGCTTAGCCGTCACATGTATGCTTCAATCATGTGTAAATGAGAGAGATGTGCGCGCGCGCTGTTGTAATTAATGTATTGCTTATATTTGCTTATGCTTGCACCATGATGGAATCTGATTAAAACATTCATTTACAATATTATGGATTTTCTTGCGGATACGTAGCTTGCATTGACGAAGCTTATATCTCTTACGCTTGTTTTATTTTACCGTGAATTGAATAATGATCAATCCCTTTTCGTAACCGCGGGACTTGGTCACATTGCCATGAATCCCGCGAGTATCCTTTGTTCAAAGTAGTCATTAACATTGCATAAAAATACGCTAGTAAGACAGACGTTGGATGGGTAGGCTCGTCAAACAAAATCTGAGCCATCAAAGGCTGAGAAACACAAAAAGAGCTACTTTAAAATCTTTTTTTGTGTAATAAAAAAACTGTTATACAAATTTACTCTTTTTATTTACAATACACTTTGTACGACAGTGCGATATGTATTTGATTGATATTTAATATAAAAAAACAATTACGTATTATAAACTTTTGTCTAATATGTACTCCCTAATTTTTTTTTTAAAGTTAAAAAAACTTTAAAAAAAACGCCTTCAAAATAAAACTAATCCACAAATTAACTAATATAACTTTATTTTTTTCTCTATTTAACATATACAACACATACTTACACAAATAGCACGCCTATGCACATATTATAAAAAAATAATTTAAAACTAATAAAAAAAAAAATAAACTTTATAAAAAAAAATTGTGTAGTACACATACGTAGCTCAACTTAAATAAACTTGATTTTAAAACTCAACAACTTAAAAAAAAATAATACTTATTTATCATTATTTATATATTATTTATTATCAAATTATAATCATACAAAAAAAAAAATTTAATAATAGTAATATAAATAAATACTTATATATATATATGTGTATATATATATATATATATTCTACTTTTTTACTTTTTATCCATTCTTAAAAAAAAAAATTTTTTTCACCACAAAAAAAAATACTGAAAATTTTTTTTTTTTTTAAAAAAAATTAATTAAAAAAACTTTTCTTCACTTTGGTCATTGACTGATCAAGTTTTTGGTGGAAAAGAATTTTTTATAATTAATTAAAAATTATTTTAATAAACAGCAAAAAACACCAACAACAATAAAATCAAATAGGAAAAAACCAAGAGTTTTTCTTTATAATACTAACTTACAATAGTATACTTTATATATAAATAATACAACACATAGAATATATATATATAGAATTATAAATATAGAAGAAACAAACTTTAAAAAAAAAACATAAATTAAAACCTCGATTTTAAACTCACTTTAAATCACCTCGATTCAAAACTCCAATAATTACTTGATAATAATAACAATAATAATTTATCGGTAAGTGATATTAATATTCGTTTGTTTCGTTTGTTAAATTTTTTTAATATAAATATATACATATATACATATATATATATATATATATATATATATATATATATATATTTTATCAATTATCAAATATTTTAATCGTTTTTAGTCTACACTTTAATTAATTTCCTTAATATAGTAAAAAGTAATAAACGTAATTTTAAAAACATAATACCGATTAAATTTTTTTCTCCAATTTAAACTTTGCACTTATGTATTTACATTATTATTATTATTATTATAAATTAAATAGTTAGTAATCATAGTTTATTTTATATTAAGTTTAATAATGACGTATTTGTATTTATAATACTTGTTTAGACTAATCCTC